TTCCTGTCTTTTTTGGATTTCAATGATACATATGTTAGATCTTCAGTGTATGCCCATATAGCTCTTATGATCTCATCTGTTTTTTTTTTTTCCTTTTTTTAATTCAGTTTTGGTATTTTATATTGACCTGTCTTTTAGCTTATTAATTCTGTATCCTGCTAGTTCCAGTTGGCTGTTAAACTCATTCACTGAATTCTTAATTCCAGATACTCTGTTTTTCACTTCTAGGATGTCCAGTGATTTCTTTTTATATATGTCACTTGCCGATGAAAGTTATGATCCCTTTATTATTTTCAGATATTAATTGCTGTAGTTTAAATTCCTTATCTGCCACCTCTAAAATCAGCTTGTTTTTGCTGCTTCTTTTTATTTTCTTTTTCCTCCTCTTTTATTTATTTATTTATTTATTTATTTATTTATTTATTTATTTATTCTTTATTGTTGGCCACAGTGTTTTGCCTCTTCCATATTTCTGGTCTTTTTTATTGTATGCTGGACATTATTACCATTAGTATTGCTGTGGCTCCAGATGATGTCATCTTCTGCCAGAGATGGTTCTCCCTTTCCTGCTAGGCAGATATGGTGAAAGGGCTGATCACTTTATTACAGCCAGGGATTGATTTTGGCCTAGGGCTGGGCTGCAGACTTACTACTTCCTAGGGTGTATTTCTCTTAGGCTTTTGATTGAGAACCTGATGAGTTCCTCAGCTCTAAAAGATAATGGGAAGTTCTCTTTAGAGTTTGTTTTCCCCCTAGCTCTCTAGTGTCTTGCACCATGAAACTTCAAATTTTGGCAAGTAATCTTGACAGAATGGCCAGGCATGTGTTTAAAGAAGCCCTTTTCCTTTGATGAACTTTGGTTTTCAGTTCTGAAGGACTGTAGGACATTTTATGCTGCCTTTTTAAAAAACTCATCCTCATTCCCTGGAATTGCATGAGATTCATTAAATGTCCAGAGGAAAACCAGCCATGTGTTTATGTCCCCTCAAATTTCCAGTACTGTACAACTGCTATAAGCTTTGATGCTTTGTATTTCCCTAGCATATATCCTGTCTCAGTCTGTGCCCAGACTCAGGAAGTAGCCTCTAATATAAAATGAGCCGGTTGTACTCACCTCATCTCAGAACATTCTGTCTCTCTTTGAAACTAATTTATGTACTTTTTGTTGCTTTTACAACCCTTTGATGCCTTTCATGATGTAAAAATTTGTTCTTTAAAAATGATCATTGCAGCAGCACATTGCTTGATGCAACCCACTATATTCTATGTGAATGGAGAGATTTGTTTATTTTATTTCCATAGAGCCTCATGTCAAGAAATGTTAGTTTGTTTAAGACACTTAGTGGATGTTTATAAGTGACACATTCTTCTAATATATCCACCTTGAAACCCTGTTGCTACTACCTGGATTCAAGTAACCATTATCTCTAACCTGGGGTACTGAATTAATGATTTCTCTCCTTTTTTAATGTGAGTGTGTTCTCCTTTAATCTGAATTACTGTCCTAAAAATGAAAATTTAACACCTAATTCCCCTTAAAACTATTTAGAGATGTTTTTCTGAGGATGAAGATGGCCTTAAGGATGAAGAAGCACACCTTACAAGATCTTGCCTGACCAGTCCTCTGCCTGACTCTCTTACCCCGGCCCTTGTGTTTCCTCCTTCAACAATATGTGATAGTTATGCTGAACTTGCTCAAATTCCCTGAGTATGCCATATCATCTTTAATTCTTAAATCTTTGCACAAGTTATTTAGTTTGCTGAGAAAACCGTTTTCTTTCCATCTATTCTTTTCATCCAGTTGCCTCACAGAGATCCAAGATCCAAGACACAGTTGTCAAATGTGGCTGGGAGTGGCTAGGAAAGTGAGGGTGTAGTGAAGGCACTGTTATTACAGACTGCAATGACATTTCATCACTAAGTGACAAGCAATGTGTAGAAATATGTCACAGTTACTTTTCCTAAATGTGGCAGGGATAAATTATGGGACTCAATTATTGAATCAGTTGATCAACAAGGAAAATTTCTTTTCCTGTTTTCAGGATGATATTTCAGGAGCAATAATTGGACTCTCCAAAAAAATAGGTTATCATACTTAAGCACTTCAGAAGGCATACTTAAGCAATTCAGAAGGCAAATAAGTACTTCAGGAGTGAAAATAATGAAGTCAAAGAAGGAAGAAGTCTTCTGCTGTGGTAACCAGGGTGTATTCCTGGTGGGACTGGGACATGAGCTATTTCCTCTGTTGCCTCTCCCCCTACCTAAATATGGCCAGTAATTAAGAAGTCCCTGCTTTAGACATCCTAGGGGATTTGTCCCAGGGAGGTCTGGAATTTATTTTGTTTGTTATTAATGTTTTTCCCCCCAAGACATAGGTTCCACTGGGACCCAAAGTCCCCCAGGCTCAGGAAGACAAAATGAGAGAAGTGAAAAGGGATGGTGTAGATTCAGGTAATGATTACAGAGTCTGAGTCTCCATGAGCTTATAATAAATAAAAGAGTGGGGGGTCCTGGAAAAAAGCCCTGAAGTCCCCTTGAAACATACTTGGTAAGTTAGGCTGGAGGGTACATGCCTTAGACTTCTTCTTAGCATTCAGGTTACTAAGGTTTTATGATGTGACTCTGGGATTGTTCTTCAGGCAGTCTAAATTAAAAAAAAAAAAAACAACAACATCACATGCTCAACATTCTAGAAATAACTTCATTTGTGTCACCAGATTCAATATGTATTTCAAATAGTATTTGTAAGTATTTCACGACAGAGTCCTTTGTGTTTTGCAGAGATTTTTTGAAAGAGATTTCAGTTTACAGTAGCTTCGGGAGGTGGGCAGGAACAAGTCAGTACTGACATTTTAAAGCTGAAGCAGGTAAGATGTAGAAAAATGAAAGGAGTAGGTAAAGTTCATATGGCTCCTCAATGGCAACATTTATAGTGATCTCTGAGTTGGGCTCTTAATCAGGTATTTTATACAGTAGATGGATCCCCTTGTTTCCCAGAAAAGGAAATTCCTGAGAAGTCAGAGATGGCTCCTTCCTCCAGTAATACCTAATAACAGATCTTTCTGTCCTCTGTCCAAGTGTGAGAACATACGCATATGCCTGGTTTAAGCCCTGGGATCTTGGTGAATGTCCTGCAGTGAGTGCACTCTTCTCTCTCTTCAGGGTTAGTAGATGTTTTCTCATCCTGAAATGCTCTTGTTTTTTGTCAATCCTGACTCACACCGTGGGAAGGCTATCTGGAGGAGACCAGAAATAGATCCAAGAGATTGGAAGTTATCCTCATTTTTTTTCACTTTTCCATGATATCTCAACTTCCACATCTGTCTAATTTCTTCTAATTTGTTCCTGCCCACCTCCCAAAGCTACAATATTGATGTTGTGTGGGGTAAATCTTAAGGAAAAATTGATAGCACTGTTGTCTGTGTAGATTAGTGTAAGACATAGAGCAGGATAGCTTCAGATGGGGTAGTGTGCTGACCCAGGGAGAGAAATTCTGGACAGTCTGCAGTACAGTATCTGGAAATCAGTACAACAGATTTAGATAAGGGAGCTCAGATTTGGAAAGGCTCAGTGTCAGTGGATGTTCCAACCTCCAAAATTTTTGGTGTTTGTTGAAACAAATAGGAAATCCCTTGGGTGGCATAAATTTTCTTTTCTTTCCTTTCCTTCCTTCCTACATTCCTCCCTTCCTTCTTTCCTCCCTCTCTTCCTCCTCCTCTCCCTCTCTTCCTCCTTCCCTCTCTCCCTCCCTTCTTTCTTCCCTTCCTCCTTCCCTCCCTCCCTCTCTTTCTTTCTTTCTCCACACATTGTTCTAGATTTTAGGCTTCAGCAATGAACAGGATAGAAATTTTCCCTTTCCTTAAAGCCTAGCAAAGAGCAAATAATCCTGATTTAATGGTCTGGGCCAATTCCTAGGAGAGAGGATGGAATGAAATGCAGATAGCATGTGTCAGTAAATGGAAGACATGATGTGATATGGTGGGTGACAGCAGGATGCCTTTGAGAAAATCAGAAATAATTGGTATACCTGGAGTGGAGAGAGGATTAAACATGAGCTAATTGATCTGATGAAATAAAAGGGTTTTGTGGGTCATGTTAACCATTTTGGACTTTATGTTAGCAGAAAGAGGAAACTCTTCAATTAGAATAGTGGCACAAGCAGGTTTGAGTCATAAAAAGAACAATTCTGGGTAATGTCAACGGGATGGAAGGGAGTAAAAGTAAATACGGAGAGACCAGATTGGTTGTGATGGTTCGGGTGAGAAAAGTTGAGTGACCTGAATGATGGCTGTGGGATGGGTAGCAGGGTCTATATGAGAAGTGAGTAGAAAGGGAGATTGGTAACATACAGTAAATGAGTGACAAGCATGAAGGGAGCCAAGGATGGCCCTCAGTCTGGCTTGAGTACCTTGTAGGTGGTATTGCCAGTCACTGAACTACTAGAGCTACTGGGAGTGGAGCACCTACAGGGCAAGGAAGACAAGACTGCAGACATTTCAGACAGATTGGTTTCAGAGTGACAGTGAGACACACAGGGAAGCTGGTCTTCAGAGAGCTGAACACCCATATCTGTAGCTCAGATGAGCTATGTAGGCTGAATAAATACATTTGGGATTCACTTTCATATTTAGGGTAAGTGTAGAAGGAAAATATTCTGAGGACCACCAACATTCAAATGATGACCGGGAAGGGGGAGCTCTGTAAGGACTGGGTGAAGGTATTGCAAGGTAGGCAGGAAGAACATGAAGCTGAGGTATCACCACTATCAAGAGACAGGAGAGTTTTACAAAGGAAGAAATGATCAATGGTGTTAAATGTGCTGTTGGAAGTCATTGGAGACTTTGATGGGGTAGTTTCAATAGAGCCAGCTGCCACCTGTGCCTTAATTCTCACTCATCCATACATTTGACAATAGGCCACATGCAATAGACATATGTTTATTTCTTATATTTGGATTTTAAGGTCTGTCATTTTCTTCATAAATATGATAGCATCACAGAATGACAGAAAGGAACCAAACTGTTGTCTCAGATTTCCTCCTTCTGGGTCTGCCCATTGATCCAGATCAGCGAGACCTGTTCTATGCCCTGTTTCTGACCATGTATGTCACCACCATCCTGGGGAACCTTCTCATCATCATCCTCATCAGCCTGGACTCCCACCTCCACACGCCCATGTATTTGTTTCTCAGCAATTTATCCTTCTCTGACCTTTGCTTCTCGTCTGTCACAATGCCCAAATTGCTGCAGAACATGCAGAGCCAAGTCTCCTCCATCCCCTATGCCGGCTGCCTGACCCAGATGTACTTCTTCCTGTTTTTTGGAGACCTGGAGAGCTTCCTCCTGGTGGCGATGGCCTATGACCGCTATGTGGCCATCTGCTTCCCTCTGCACTACACCACCATCATGAGCCCCAAGCTCTGTCTCTCCCTGGTGGTGCTGTCCTGGGTGCTGACCACGTTCCACTCTATGTTACACACTCTGCTCATGGCCAGATTGTGGTTTTGTGCAGACAACACAATCCTCCACTTTTTCTGTGATATGTCTGCTCTGCTGAAACTGGCCTGCTCTGACACTCGTGTTAATGAGTTGGTGATATTTATCATGGGAGGGCTCATTCTTGTCATCCCGTTCCTGCTCATCATCATGTCTTATGTGCGGATTGTATCCTCCATCCTCAAGGTCCCTTCTGCCAGGGGCATCCACAAGGCCTTCTCCACCTGTGGCTCCCACCTCTCTGTGGTGTCTCTCTTTTATGGGACAATTATTGGTCTCTACTTGTGCCCATCAACTAATAATTCTACTGTTAAGGAGACTGTCATGGCCATGATGTACACTGTGGTCACCCCCATGCTGAACCCCTTCATCTACAGCCTGAGGAACAGAGACATGAAGGGAGCCCTGGGAAGAGTCTTTTGGAAAAATAAAATATCTTTCTCTCTAAAGTGGTAACAGTTGATATTTTCACATTATTTAATTCAGTGGGTATAGTAATACTGATAATGGAAAATTACTCTTAATCCATGTTTTTTCCCCTTCAATTTTAAACCCTTCAAACTTTTTGTTTGATATCATATTAAAGGCAAATATGAAACTATGATGACAACTGAGCTGTTTTGAGGTAGAGTTGGGGGCAGCAAACCAGTCTGTTCTGAGTCCTTATTTCCCTCTTGCTAGGTGGAATTGAAGTTGAAAATAAGATTTATATACCTTTGTGCAAAATACCTTATTCCTTTCAATTTAAGAATTTTCTTCTACTTCTTCTTCTCCCCCTTCTGCTCTCCTCCCCCTTCTTCTTCTCCTCCTTCTCTTCCTCTTTCTTCTCCTTCTTCTCTTTCTTCTTCTTCTCCTCTTCCTCCTCCTCCTCCACCCCTTCCTCCTCCTCCTACTCTTCCCTCCTCCTCCTTCTTCTTCTTTTTCCTCTTCTTCTTCTTTGTGATTCATCTATCCACTTCAGAGAGAGAGAGAGAGAGAGAGAGAGAGAGAGAGAGAGAAGGAGAGCAGGGGGAGTGGTGGAGGGAGAGGGAGAATCCTGAAGCCAGCTTCCTGCTGAGCGTGGAGCCCCAGCCTAGGGTTTGATCTTATGACCCTGAGATCATGATCCCAGCCTAAATCAAGAGTTGGCCACTCAATTGTCTGAGCCACCCAGGCACCCCCAGGAATTATCTTCTTAAAACATTACTGTAATCATTGTTTTTTCCTGCCCAGGAATCCTCAGTAATGTGCACAAGCAAAGAAAGAATAAAACCCAACCTTTCTTTCTCACAGAACACAGAGACTCCTGGAGCTCTCAGCTTCTATATACACCTTATTCTCCACTATGTATAAAAGCATCTCATATTTCCCTCTCTCCATTCGTATGCTTGCCTCATTCTATCCCTTAATTCTAACTCTATTTTTTTGAGCCAGAGCAGAAAATCACTCTTTGAAAGAAAACAAATAGCAAACAGTTGTTGGGTGCTTTTGTATGTGTCAGGTTCTTTTCCAATCTATTAACCTACCACCTCTATGATTTTGGTCCTATTATTATCCCCATTTTATAACTAAAATGATAGAAAGGTTAGTTTACCATCTAACATCAAATAAAAAGTTCAGATTGAAGCCTAGGCCATTTGTCTTGTAGCCCAAGATCCTCAGGACTACACTATGCTGCATCTTGAGACTATAGAATCACATCCCTCCATTGTAATGGTGTGTTTTGTTCAGTTTAACTCACTTGTCAGTTGATTGTGCTTTCATTTATTTCTTTCATATCTTTGTTTTTCTGGTCGAATAATGATCTTCTTCATATATAATCATAAAGTATAGAACAGGAGTTCTAAACCTATATCCCAGTGGCCAAGCAGCTAATGTAGTTGAGTGTAAAGTGTATCAGATTTAAGAAAAACCAGCTGCAGAAATATGATAAAAGGTACTTTATTTTATTAATATTTGGAGTATTCATCTATCATAACTCAAAATATATGCCACTGGAGATGATCTTTAACCCTGATATCAAATAATATCTAAATAAAAATAGAAATACTTAATCAGTAGGTACATTATTGGATTTTATAACTCCTTTGATTTGGAAGCAAAACCTGGCACCATTTCTTCTGACCAAGATGTCAGTGTGGAGTCCTTTTTTTTTTTTTCCTTGAATTGTTTAGTAGAGAATTTAAGCTTGGGTCCATTTAACTGGGAGTGATATTTAGATTTTTTTTTCTACTTAATAATAGACAAGAACTACTCACCAACACATGTACTTTGAATATGGATCAAATCTTTGCACAGACATTTTTATAATTAAGGTCACTTTTTTGGAGGTATAAGTAGAATTCTGATATTCCAATGTTGTCATAATACTTTTCAGTATTGCACAATGTTCCTAACATTAACTTTAATTTTCCCTCTTCATTTACACCATCATATTAGTTGGGAAAGGTGAACTAGTAGGTTCATATAACATATAATGTTATTTTATTGTAAAAAATAGGAAATAAATGAACATTTTAAAAGAACTCATCATTCAACTCTGTAATTTCATATATGTAGATCAGTCATTGTTTTCATTTCTCTAAATATATTTTAGCTATAGTGAGTAGTTTTCATTTTTCTTTGCCAAATTATGTTTTCAAAGTACATATATTTAAGAGTATCCATCAATTGAATGAAATATTTGTGCAGTTATTTGTGAATGTATTTGCAGAGAAATATTCAGAATGTTTACATGATTTGCAATGTCAAGTTAAGGCCATGTATTGAATCAAACCTTCACAAGTGATATGAGAGGATTTTTTTTTAATTAGTGTATGACACAAGTAACTTGTTTTCTTTAAACATTTCCAAAACCTTCTGGCCCTGTGCCTGACCTCCATGTAGTGCTGAAGGTTACCATCTTGTTTACCCATTTTTTAAAAGTGGAACATTAGCTAGCTGGTTCAATTCTTGGGAACATTTTCAATTCATGATATTAAGTATTATTGTATTATGCATTTATTTTTGACATTTTAACATTGAAAAATATAATAAATGAACTCATATCTGGTGTCTTGCAAAATATTGCCACTTTGGGTTTAATTTTTAAAAACAAGGTTAATCTTATTACCAATACTATCAGAGTGTAGTTTGTCATAGACTTACTAATATTGACCAGGTGACATTAAAATTTTGAAGTTATTTTTACTCCAATAAAAATATAGCTAATTTCGTGATATTGTGTCTATTAGGGAATCTTTCCCAAAGTTTCCATGAAAAGATCAAACCTTTCATCAACATCACAAACAGTGAATTCAGTGATATTATTTATGTTTATATTCTCGTGTGGCAAGATATAGATGCTTGTTTCTGTTTGAAGCACATAATTTTTGCTAAACCCTAAAGACCATCATTTATACTCGAAATCTCCAAAGAGTGTAAAGGCCAGTCAATTATTTCATTTAATACAACAGCATTGTACAATATCATTTCTAATTTTATAGTCATAAGAAAAAATAAACTAAAAATTTCAGTCTTATTTTTGCTTAAGTTTTTTGTATCATAATTTTTTGTACACTGATCATTGTAAGATTCATTTAATGTAAAATAGGTTTGACGCAGTGCTCTTTGATGCATGCTTATTAAACATGTTGGGATGCCATACGTTCCAGAAAGATTCTCACTTTTTCCTGAAAAGCGTAATTATTTATTTTTCCATTTTTGATATCTCTATGAATCCAGTAAATGTTACCTTCTTCTGAGAAAAGGAATACCAAGAAGACTATGAAACATGCTGATGAATGGGAGAGTTTATGCCCTGTCTCAAAGGTCAAAGTGCTACTGAGCCACAGGGGGTTGCTTTTGTGTAGTAATATAGACCCAGGATCACATAATCTCCCAGCTATTTGGCCCTGTGTCTGGCCTCTGTTGGTACAGATGTCCAACATGTTGTGTCTCTAATGTATTAAGCAAAGCTTTGGATGACTGGTCCAATTCTTGGGAGCACATTCTGTTAAACTACATATTTGGATTAAACTATAATTATTCCAATTTTAGTATATGTGCTGCCGAAGCGAGCACGGATTAAACTATAATTATTAAACTATAAACTATTCATTTAGATTTTTATGAGAATCTTTCAGCTTCTAATATTGACAACAATTCATATAAAAATTAATATTTTTATATGAATTAAGATAAAACATGTTTGCCCTCCAGATGCAGCCTTTTATAGACCTGCCCTTAATCTTGGGCAACACGGTCCCCTCTCCTGGGCCACATTTGCCCCACTCTGGCACTACTGACATTTTGGGCTGGATAATTCCTTATTGTAGGTGCTGTCCTGTGTACGGTAAGATGTTCAGCCACACCCCTGACCTCCATCCACTTGTTGCCAGCGACATTACTCCTCATTCCTGCTGTGAGAACCAAAAGTATCCTCAGACATTGCCAAATGGCCTCAGGTGTGGTGTGGGTGCATAATCACCCCAGCTGAGCCCACTGCTTCAGAGAGAGCTCTTACACCTTGCAAACACACATTGGTCCTTCCTCTACTGGGGATCTGGAGCTCGGTTCTGGCATAGCAGGGTCTGGAACCGGAAAGCCCATTCTTGCAATTTAGAGCCTTCAAGCCCCAGGGCAAGCAAGACTCCTTCACTTCACTTTCCCAAGGTTTTGAGAGAGAAGCACCTACATCTTAATATTGTAAAGCCTTGTGTGCTGTGCTTCTGCTGGTGTCGGTGGTGGCCACGGATTCAGAGTGTAGGAAGGGTTGGACCAGTGGAGCTCTGAGGTCAGAGAAAAGACTGAGTAACTCGTCAAACCCTCCCTTTCATGATAGCATGTGTGCAATGGATTCGTGCATGAATGAAGTGTTGTTTCTTAAAGTGCTGAGCGTCCCGTTTCTTCCGGTTCTGTATCCATAACAATTGCACATAGCTATTGAAAACATTTGAAATATTAAATAATTTATATTACTTGTAATGTTTATACATGAGGCCAATATAACATGTATGAAATATGATTTGACAGTTTACATTGGCAACTGGATGAACTTTGAATGCTAAATTTGAAAATCATTTTATTTTTTATGATATAAAACAAATTTAATTAAAATTTTAAGAAATCAACAGTTTTATTTCATTCAGTAAAAAGTTTATATTTATTATTTTAAATTTTATTTTGCCTGTCACACATAATTGTAACGTTTTAGAAGAAAACTTTTTGAAATCATTTAAAAAATAATAACTTCAATTTTCCCATTTACTTTAATACTCATTTATTGTGAAATTTCATATTTGAACACAATTACATTTTATTTTTAAATCCTTAGATCATTGTTATCAATAGAAATGTAAACTATGTTAACACACACTTATGTAAAAATCTCAATTATAACATAATCTGTAATTTTGTTTATTATAAATGACGATCATAAAAATCAATATTATACATTAAATAGGTGAAATTACGAATTATGTATGTATTTATAACAT